ATCCCCACTACTCCAACTCAATTGCTTCCTTCACCAGCACTGTTTTTTTAACTTTATGACTCTATTTCTAAGAAATGACTGTAGTGAAGCTCTAATATTAATATAGTAATACAGAATGATGTTTCTCTGGAAAATAATTGAATGATATCTCTAAAATAACTGTTTAAATATTATGGTTAGCGAGTGGCACTTAGTTGAGCTCCTGACTGGTCGAGAGATACTCTAAGACTGATATACATAAATTAAACAAAGCCTACTTGCTTATAGCGGTGCCCAGTCTTGCACACCTAGTCCATTACATACAGAATAAGACCAATTCTTCCAGGGAAGGAGAGGAGTTGCCAACATCAAAATATTAAATCATTATATAAAATCTAAAAAATATAGGGTTATAAAATTATTTTTATAAATTATTCTGCCATATTAATTATCAATAATAAAATGCATAATATTTAGTTTTTAGCTAATTATTTGTTTTCCTAGATCATGTAATTCAAACATGTTTGGATTAAATATTAAAAAGTCTTTTAAAATATATTTTATGCAAAATTTACTATAGCTTTATAGGGAATTACTTTTTTTAAACTTAACAATAAGTATTCTAAAAAAAAAAAAAACAAATAAAATCTTATATATATTTATAATTTGATGGAAAATACTTGTAGGTATATAGTCTTACAATTGTGCATTCATTGTGGTGTAAAATAACAAATTGCAGAAGAAATATAGTAAAAAAAAAAGCATAAATTTAAGTTGTTTTATGTTGTTTAACATAATTGTCATTGAGAGAAAGAAAATTGAAAATGTATTTGGAATCAAGCAGTTATGTTCGTTGAAAGTTCTTGTTGGCCCATGTTAGAGTTTTTATTTTTTTTTTTTACATGTTTAAACCCATACACACAAGATAAAGTAAAAACTTTTTCCACAATTATTATCCATTTATAGTTTACTTCCATTGAGTTTTTGATATCATAACTATTGTCAGACTTTAGACTGTTGAGTGTGGGGTTAAGGTATTTTGCTAATCTCTCTTTGACTCCATTAATATTACTAATAATTATTAAATATAATAGTAGGCCTATTATAATAGCCTCAGTGAAGCACCGCTTTTATTTAACTTAACAATCCCTTGTATTCTTGGAGTAATATAGTTGGGATTAATTAATTATTTTTTATTAATTTATCAATATATTTCTCTATGGTTTAATATGTGTTTTTTTTGTTGTTTTTTTTAGAAAATAGAACTTTATTCTGGGACTAAGTCCCCTTAGAATAACAAAGATGAATTAATACAAAATAAAATATCAATCTGGCCAAAAACTAACTTATAAAAATTCTAACATAATATACATTATTTAAAAAGTAGTATGTAACCACTAAGAAATAAACAAAAAAAATATACACATATATAAATACACGCACACATATATACATACACACACATACACATATATATACATACATACACACATATATATACATACATACATATATATATATATACACACACACACACACACACACACACACACACACACACACACACACACATACACATACATACACACACATACACATACATACATACATATATAAATGAACATACAATCTTCTCCAAATTTACTTGTTATTACAATAAAAAAAAAAAAAGAAATTACATATCTATATATACTTAACTGCCCAATTTATAAACAATAGGCTATCTAATAGAAACATAATTTAATACAAAATGTAATAATATTTACAGTGATTCATACAATAATAAGGAAACACTAAGATAAAATAAAATCTCAGGAATAATTGTGGTATAAAGGTAAAAAAGGAACTATATATACGTACTTACTCATATTGCTACACAGTGAGACAAAAAGTATAAAATATAAACATATATACATGAAAGAAAAAGCACAACCTGAGGTGAAGAGAAATACAAATAAATAGTAAAAATAATAGTCAAAAATCATTGCTGTTTTATGTTAAAACTTAAACTGTAGGCATCACCATTTACTTCTCACAAATTCAGTTCATAAAATGAAATTTATGGTTGCGAATCGTCTGTTTGGGATGTGAGGAGATATTGGAAAAGGAGGTATTTGAAGGTTGACAGTGAAGAGGCATGACGGATGTTATGTGGCAAAGAATTCCAATAGGTGACGGAGCGGGCTAAGAAGGAACGTTCATAGGTTTTTGTCTTGTGTAATGGAATATAGAGGTCAGAATCACGGGATCTCGTTTTTATTGAGTGGACTAAAGGTTTCGGCTTGAGGAGACAGTAGATATAGGAAGGGTGCTGGGAGTTGATCGTTTGATATAAGAAATTTCCAAGGAAGTATAGGCGGCGGGAAGAGGGGAAGAGCCACTTTGACTCGGAATATAGGTGGGACACATGAGACCACCTCGAAGTTCCGAAGACAAATCTTAAAAAACAGTCCATGATTCTCTTCAGTCTGTCCTCAAGCTCCAACGAGAGGCCACCATATACCACACAGCCATAGTCAAAGTAGGGGAAAATCAATGAGGAAACGAGGAGCTTGCAGATAGGTTGTGGGAGATGCTGATGAGAACGATGAAATAGTTTAAGTGTACCAATTGACCTTCTGGAGATATGAGCAATATAGGGTTTCCATGATAGGTTTTGATCAATGGTAATTCCTAAGTTTTTTACAGAGGGGGAGAAGGAGATTGGTTGGTCATTAATAATCAAGGAAGGAAGGGTGGAGATGGATCTAAGAAGGGAGTTGGAACCTATAAGAATTTGCCTGAGTTTTTGATGCGTTTAAGTTTAAATTATTCAACCTTGCCCAGGCACTGATCCTATCTAGGTCTTTCTGAATATTCATAAACACTTCTAATAACTCAGTGGGCGGAAAGGAAAGATAAATTTGGGAGTCATCAGCATATAGATGGTATGAACAATAGTGGATTGAACTAGGAAGGTCATTGATGTAAGAATTAAAAAGGATAGGGGAAATGCTTGAACCCTGGGCTACTCCATGAGACAAAGTGAGGAAAGAAGATAAGGGTTGATTCGGAATACTAACAGCTTGAGTCCTGTCAGAAAGGAAGGATTGGAACCATAGGATAGAACTATTGGAGAAGGATAGTGATTTTAATTTAGTGTAGAGGATAGAATGGTCTAAGGAATCGAATGCTTTGTCACTATTGTCAGACCAGAACAGACTAAAGTCCAGGAGTACCAATACAGTCAGTTTTCTTTCGTCAATTGCAGTATGTATGTCGTTTGTGATTTTGACTAAAGCGGATTGAGTGGAGAAGCCCGGGCGAAAGCCAGATTGGAGAGGATCTAAAAGTTCGAACTCTTCGAGAAAATTGGAAATTTGGGATTGGACAATTCTTTCGAGGGGTTTTGACAGATTTGAGAGGATGGAAATTGGACGATAGTCTTTAGGAGATGTGGGGTTAGGGATTTTGTTAATAGGACGGACTAAGGTTTTTTTCCAAGATGTAGGGAAAACAGAATTTTGAAGGGAAAAGTTATAAATGAATAGAAGAACTGGAAGGATTTCAGGGAGGCATTCTTTCTTCTTTCTTGTTGTTGTTCTTGGAGGTACTACAGCTACCCCAACTACACACTCTCATAGAGACTATAATCCAGTTATGGATTGAACATAAGGAGTATTATTAAATTAAGTAAGAATATTTATTCACTAAGAACTGGTATCTGATTGACCTTGCCTTAATGTATGTAATTGTATTTATAATATATACTTATTCTGTATTTTATTTTAATTAAATTGATTTATTAAATTAACTTATTGACTAAACCCAATTAGAGTTATAATTTATACAATGTTTGTTTTTAAGAGATGACTAACATCACTATCATATCATGTTAAATATAGTTTTCATGAAACTTATTGTGAATTAGGTCTTACAGACGGCTTGAAAATGGTGATATGCCTGAAACATAGCCAATGTAGAACAAGGAAAATAAACATGGTGAAATAAATACTGTCTTAACTTTATATTATTAAACATAGTTTCACCTAAAACAAAAAACGTATGAATAAAGAAACCTGCTGATTGCTTGAATTATTTTCACAACATAAATATTAGAATTATAAAGATTTAGTTGGTCACGTATAAATACGGATCAATTCCTGTAATAGAGATCTTTGTAAAAACCTCAGTTTTATTATCACTTTTGTAGATAAATATTTGAAAAATTATTATTTTTATTTGTTTTATTGTTTTAAATAAAATGTGTATTTATGCTTCTTCTTCCTTAGCTCAATAACCCATAAGGGTTCACGGCCGCCTAAAGCATGGTCTATCATTCATCTCGATTCCATGCAGTGTGTATTTATGCACTTCAGTTTATTATAAAACATCTCAGGTCATATGGAAAAAATGAAAGTTTTGCAATAGTTAATTGTAGTCATTTTTGCTGAAAATAAGGGCACTTTTAGGTGACAGGATATTAAATCTTAAATCACCTCATTTTTTTTACATGACTTGAGGGAAATCTCAACTTATTTCATAATAAACCTCAAATTATTAATATGAACTTAGAGCTTATTTCACATGGAAGTTTTCCAAAAAGTGGGGCATCTTCAGTATTGTGGTGATAAAAAAAGTGTGAATAATTCATATATTTTTCTTTTTTTTTAAACAGAACTTAGCTTAGTTTATCCACTCAAAAGTCCTCTTTAAATGGTTTTAACAATGACAAACTCTACTTTCATTTGAAGTAAATGTTTATTTTACTTTCAATCAATTGTCAATCACTTAAATTAAATATTTTTTTAGTTATTGCTGCCTATTCATCAAAAAACGTTACACTCGATAAACACAAAAACTAAATTTCCTATTTTTTTGCACGGAATTGGACCATTGTTTATATAAACTCACGACTCAAATTTTTTATAGGTCTTAAGGTCTGCTGTCACCCCTTTAAATATTTCCCTTTTCTTACTTGTCGCCCAGTATAAATATCTCCATATATGTATGATCCATACTTATAATTCTTGTTTGTATAGATGACTGGAAGGAAGGGTAGAGTTGTTCAAACAGAGGATGGCATTCAGTATGAATCTAGATCAGAAGTTGATGTCCCACTTGAAACTTTAAATCTCACAGGTAATTTGATTTTTTATTATTTTTATATTAAACTTCAAATCTTCTTTTACCGGCTATTTCAGAATGAGAATACTAACTTAACAACCAGTCAAATTAATAATATCAGTTATTTTAATATAATATATAATAAACAGAAAGATAGTTGGGATGATCAGTCAAAATAAAAATGGCAAAAATGAATAATAATATTTATTTGAACATTTGCCGACGTTTTGACAAGTTCAGACAACAAGTTCAGGCCTTCATCAGAGCTGAGAAAAGAACCAGATAACATTTGGTATGAGAAACATAAACTATGTAGGTAAAAAAATTTAAAGTATAATGAAGTAAATAAGTGAACATTAAAGTAGATAGAATAATGACAATAATAAGAACTAAGAAATAAATAATAATAACGGTTACAAAGTGTGGACTAATGAAGTAAACATAATAAAAATAAGATAACATAAGTACTAAAATCTTAGAATAAATTGTAAAACAGAAAAAAGGAATATGAAGTTATATAAGAAATAAATAGAAATAGAAAAGTTTAGATATACTAAGTAGAATAGTTAAATAGAAAATTGAGATATTGTAAAGTCTTTCAAAATGTACTAACTACGTATAAGGGAATAAAGAGTTAAAATAAATAAAAAATAAATGAGCAAATATATCAACATATACAAAGTGGAGATGGAGATATGGAAAAAAAAAAAAAGAGTGAAAGGAAGTAGAAAAATAAGATAAGATAGACAACTAACCTGATCGGAGAGATTGCTATGGAAAGAATAGATGTATTGTAGCAAGAGAGGGGAGAGCTGTATTGTTGTGTCATCTCTGAGGGTTGTCTGCAAAAGTTTTGAACTAAAGTACCAGAAGCGTATATAGTGGATGGGAGGTATATTACAGACAAATATTATGAATAATTAAATGATTAATTGAATTTAATAATAATTAAATTTAATTGAAAGAGGATGGAAATAATCTGGAGATAGTATAAAACAGAGATAATAAAAATTAAATAAATGTTAAGTAATAATGGAGAATATTTGAAATTAATATGTATTTATTTATAAAATATATATATATATATATATATATATATATATATATATATATAAAGAAAACAAATAAGGAAGTTGTTAGCGAAAAGGAAAAAGGAGATTGTTATGGATGTTTTAATAAATTCAGAATTTGGGCATAGGCTGAGGATAAGTTTTGTTTGTCTGTTTTTAGATTCACTGTCTTAGGTTGTTGGTGGATGTGGAGGTTTTCAGAGATGAGTCATTTGTCATGGTTAGGGACGGAGGCAAAGATGGAAATTTTGTCGAGATCAAATGTATGGTTTAGGGAGAGAGAATGTTCGGATAATTTGGAGGCGGTAAAATTACAAGAGGATACAGAATATTTATGTTGGGTGATGCGGTCTTTTACAAGATTTTTGGTTTCCCCGATATAGGATGAAAAACAATTAGGGGTAGAACACGGAATACGGTAAATGATATGAGAACAGTGTGAAAGAGGAATCAGAGGAAAGAGACAGGATCTTTTAGGGATGTGTATAAATTAGAAAGTGTGTTGTGAGATTTGAAAGCAAGTTGTAAGTTAGGATTAGTAGATAGTAAAACTTTGGTTATGTTGTCAGAAAGATAAGGCATATAAGGTAAAGATCTGTATATGGAGGCCGTAAAGGGTTGTAGAAGTCGAGATTAAGGAAGAGCATATATAGTATATTCCGGTACTTTAAAAGAGCTCCATTCTTTTCTCAGCCCTGAACTTTGGGTCTAAACGTCAGCAAATGTTTAAAAAAATATTTTTATTTATTTTTGCCATTTTTATTTTGACTGATCGCCCCCAATTATCCTTCTCTTCATTACACACTACAGTCAACCATTGACACACAATTATAATATATAATACTTATATAAACTAATCTCCCATTTAAAACCTTAAATCTCTCAGATCATTTGATTTCTATTGTTACTTCTTGATGAGATCCTCTTCTCCTGCCATTGCAGTTTGTGAAAATGACTAAAGTCAAATTAATAATTTAAGTTATTTCAATGAAATTATTGACTAGCATTTATAGTTGGTTTTGGATAGCGAAATGTATAATCATATATTAGAAATTAGTATTTATATATATACATGGGGGGCTGGGGTAGCCGTACGGGCTAATGCACTTGCAATAGGTAATCAGTGTTAAGGAACATTGAGCGTAGTTAATACTTGGATGGGTGACCGTCCACCAGGGGAAGCCATGCTGCCCATGACTCTTCTCTCCTCCCGGGTAAGTGAAGCCCGTTAGCCTACTGGAGGCAACTTATACCGACCGGGCGTTACTTAAATTGGGTATTGCGATGTGGTACTAGGATGTTAGTAGCTCCCCTAAGAAGGCTTGGTCCATGGAGCGTTCTGCTTCAGGGAAAGAAATATAGGTTCTCGTGAGCCTGCTGACTCTGAGCAGCCATAACCCATGGATCTAGATCGATTTGTCTCTGTCCTTAAACCTGAGTGAGTTGGTGGGAAGGGTACTGCCAGATTGGCCCAAAGGGGTCGGCCATGGAGCTACGGTTGGGTGGCCTGTCGCTGCACCATGGAAACCACATCTCTTGGCCAAAGATTTTCATGGTCTGTAGCGCCAATCGGAAAAAAAAAATATATATATATGTATATGTATGTATATATATATATATATATATATATATATATATATATATATATATATATATATATATATATATATATATATATAATAGGGTTTTTAAAAAAAAAAAATGACCATTTTATCAAATTCATTATTTCAAAGGACTATAAATATTTTAATCCTATTTATTGCTTAATCCCTTTATGGCATTCTCTAAGCTTGTTATATCCCATTCAAATTCTTTAAAAAAAAAAACCTCAGTTATATATAGTTATTTGTTTCAAAGAAGAAACATGAGTGCCCTACAAAATTCTCTTAATTTTAAGGCATTACTGGAAAAAAAATTTCACCCTCTGAAGCAACTTTGATATTATTAAATATGAAGGGGAATATGTCCTTGACCAGCACACTGCTAGGCATTGAAAAATTTAACAGTGGAGATACGAGGGTGGTCTGAAAAGTTTCCGACCGCAGTGTGAAGATGGCAGTACTCATAAATAAAAGCAAGTGAATTTTGTTGTTCATCTGTTGACAGTTACACACCAAAGATTCAACCATTTTGGATGCCCATTTTTTATGTAACAGTCGTTTTATTGAGTTGATGTGGGTGTTTTTGTGAAAATGGGGTATCGAGCTGTCCCTAAATATTTATTTTTGAAAGGCAATATGCCTACACAAATCAAAGATGAGCTGGATTCTGTATATGGGGACTCTGCACATCATTTACCACAGTGAAATATGGGGCAGCTGAATTTAATCATGGCCGTAAGAGCTTGGGAGAGACGATGAACTCCAGGGACCTCCAAAAACTGCAAATACCGAAGAAAACATCGCCAAAGTTCACTAAATGGTGCTAGACCACCACCCAATTAAAGTGAGAGAGATATCAGAGGTTATGAACATGTCATAATAACGTGTTTGTTACATATTAAATCAACATTTAGATATAGGAAAGCTGTCCACACGTTGGGTGGGTGCCGCGTTTGCTCACCTTAGACCAAAAATGTGTTCGAATGAACATTTCTAACACTCTGTTGGCACAGTTTAGGTGCAATAAATCCGAGTTTTAGCGCCGATTAATTACTATAGATGAAACTTGGATACACCATGGGGAAGGTGAAAAAGAGCAGTAGACTGGTTGTTCATGAACTTACTCCTCTGCAATCAGCTAAGAGTTTAAACATTTGTGAAAAACCCTTCTGATATGAGATTTTACTGGAAGATTGTCACCCGTGATGAAAAGTGGGTTTACTAGCGACATCTGAATATCCGTGAGCAATGGCTAGATCATGGTCAAACTGCTTTTCTGGTTGCTGCAAGGGAGCAATTTGAAAAAAAAAAATCCATGCTTTGCATTTTTTTTTATTTTGAAGGTGTTATTCATCACGAATTTGTTCCTGATGGATGCTCTATGAATTTTTAACTCTACTGCAAACAACTGGAAAGATTGTACGTGAAGTTATCAGAGCGTCATCCTTCATTGATCTGCCAAAAAGGAACCAACCCGTCAAACCAAAGAAAAGTTTAAAGAACTTCATGTGTTCGAACTCCTGCCTCATCCACCATAAAGTCCAGACCAAGCATAGATAACAATGGACTATGCTTTGAGTATTAATTGTATTTTATAATAATAATAATAATAATAAGGCTTAGCGAACCCGAAGGTTCGATGCCGACACCACCAATCGCTTGTTACAAACCTCCCTCCACCGTTCGCCGTCCAAACCCAGTCCCTTCAGATCGGCTTTAATGCAATCTTCCCATCTTCGCTTCGGTCTACCCCTCGGACGCTTACCATTCGGCACAGCAAATATTAACCTTTTAGGAATTCTCTCGTTACTAAGCCCAACAACTTTACAAGCCCATTTGATTCGCCGCGATGAAATTACCTCAATTATATTACCCGGATACATCTCACGCAATTCGGCGTTGTGTAACCGTCTGAACTCTCCGGTTAACTCATCCTTTTTCGGTCCGAATATTCTACGCAATACTTTATTTTCAAAAACCTTAAGACGCTGCTCATCCCTTAATGTAAGCGGCCAAGTTTCGCATCCATAAAGAACTGTAGGTAAGATAATTGTTTTATAGATTCTAATTTTTAAGTTTCGGGACAAGAGGCGCGAACTAAGTAGTTTTGTCACAGAAAAATAACAAGCATTCCCCGCCTTCAGTCTAACCTTAATCTCTTCTTCAATTTCGTTTTTTCTAGTTATCGTAGAACCTAGATACCTAAATTTATCTACCTGTTCAAACATATTACCATCTATATCGATATCACCAGTAGTATCGCCATTTTTGCAGCTAACCATATATTTTGTTTTATCCACGTTTATTTCGAGTCCTAGTTCTTTCCCGGCTTTCATTAACGTTG